TGCAACCTAAATAATAAAAAAGAAACAAAAATCAAAATAAAACACTTTTTTTTGTACCTAAATGTGGCTCATTGTATCTTTTCTGGTTGAATCAGTCAGGCCTTGGTCTGGCCTAGTCTTGTCTTGTGTACTTGAGACTAAGCTGGGGCAAGCTGGAGGGGATGAGGATTGGGGGTGATCAGGAGTCCATTTTGAACATACTTGGTTAGGGGTGCTTGTTAGACATGGATTGGGCAGTTAGTTGGCTATATGAGTCTGGAGCTCAGGGGAGGGGTCTGGAATAGAGATGTAAACCTTGGTGTTATCAGCATAGAGATGCTATTTACTGCTATTTATAAGGACAGGGTGTAGGTAAAAAATAGGACCAAGATCTGAGTTCTGGGATCCTCCTTATGCAGTTGGAGAGAAAAGGAGGGATTGGCAAAAGAAACTGGGAAGAGGGGCCAGGATGAAAGAGAATGAGGAAAATAGAGGTGTGTGTGTGTGGGGGGGATGGGGGGGTGGGAGGGGTGGGGTCCCAGAAAACAATGTTCAAATTGGGTCCAGGTTTTACCTTGCCCTGAGTGGGCCTTCCTAGGTTGGGCAAATTATATGTGGGTTCTTTTTAAAAAATAAATTTTATTGATTTTTTACAGAAGGAAGGGAGAAGGATAGAGAGTTAAAAACATTGATCAGCTGCCTTTTGCACACTCCCCACTGGGTATGTGTCTGCAACCAAGGTACATGCCCTTGACTGGAATCGAACCTGGAACCCTTGTGTTCATGGGCTGTTGGTCTATCCCCTGAGCCAAATGGGCTAGGGCTGTATGTGGGTTCTTGACTTGATGTAGAAAGAATTTCATGGGAGTCCAAGTGAGTTTTAGAGGACACTCATTAAAGCTGAGGACAGTGCAATGGGAAGGGCCTGGGCTAACAGGAGAGGGACTAGGCGGGCAGTGAGCCGAGGCTGGGCTGCTTTGCTCACTAAGAAGTCGGAGAAAAGGGGCCTTGGGGACAGGGTCAGAGGTTGGCCCAGGACGAGCTGCCCTGCCCTGGCTGCCGGCCTCACGGGTCCTGTAGGTTGAGGAGATGCACATCTGGGGAAAGAAGTGGGGAGCGGCGGGAAGGTGCAGGCGTGCTTCTGGGAGGAAGAGCTGGAGCTGGGACCTTGGTTTCTTAGGGGCTTTAAAGGCTAGGCTGCTAGGGGAAGTCTTAGGGGAGGATAATGGAACATTCATGAGCTTTATGCTGATGTATCAAAATGAGATTTATTCTCTTAGCCTCATCTGTTCTTGAGTGTTTTGGTAATTGGATTTCTGCTGTCTGTCTCTCTGAGTTGGGTGGTTTAAACTGTTTACCCTCTGGTTGGGGAGAGGTGCAAACCATTCACTCTTAAGTGTTCTTGGTTTAAAGAAGATATGATTTAGTAGGGGGCTGCAAACTGCTTGGTACCTAGATTTTCTAGATGGCTGTAAACTGCTGTTCAACTATCTGTTCTAACTTTCCTTTTTCGCTTGTCCTGGCTCACTGGCCTGTCTCACAGGAAGAAGTGGTCAAACGTCAAAGGCTTAAAAAAGTGGGGCAGTAGTTGATGTGGGAAGTGGGATTAAATTTTTTTTTTTCTTTTTTCAGTATATTTTTATTGGTTTCAGAGAGGAAGGGAAAGGGAGAGATAGCAGCATCAATAATGAGAGAATCATTGATCGGCTGCCTTTTGCATGACCTCTACTGGGGATTGAACCCACATCCCGGCATGTGCCCTGACGGGAATTGAACTGTGACCTCCCGGTTCATAGGTCAACACTCAACCACTGAGCCATGTGGGCCAGGCTGCTTTTTCATTAAGAGATAAAAATTGAGAGGAAGCCTCTGATAAATTTCCAGGCAGGTTTATTAAGCTTATGCTTGAGCACAGGGAGGCAGCACAGCGGAGAGGAAGGTCCTCTGGACTAGCTGGTGGGCTGGCTCTGCGTGGCTGCTTTTGTAAGCTGGGACAAAGCAGACCTGCACGAAAAGACGGGCTTTTTAAAAGGTAGGCTTGCACAAAAAGAAGTGCTTGTGAAGGGTTCCATGTCAAGGTGCAGTTACTTCCTCTTGTTGGGTTGCTTGGCAACTGACTTCATGTTTGTGAAGTGGGAGCAAGATAGTACTGTTGCTGGTTACTGCCACTCCAGGAAGATCAAACCTTGACAACTGCACTCATGGAACAGTGTTTTGTTTTGTTTTTATACATTTTTTTTTTTATAGAGAGGAAAGGAGAGTGATAGAGAGGCAGAAACTCAACCAGAGAGAAACATTGATCAACTGCCTCATGCATACTCCCTACTGGGGATGTGTCCATAACCAAGGTATAATACATGCCCTTGACTGGAATCGAACCTGGGACCCTTGAGTCTGCAGGCCGACACTCTATCCACTGAGCCAAACTGGCCAGGGTGGAACAGTGTTTTTTTTTTTTTTTTTTAAGTGAAAAATTTTTTTAACTTTTTTATTTTAATATAAATGACATATAACATTGTTAGTTTCTATTGTACAACACAATGATTTCACATAGGTGTGTAACAAAATGATCACCACAATGTCTACTTAATGTCCACTACCACACACAGTTGCAATCTTTTTTTCCTGTGATGAGATCTTTTAAGGTTTTACTCTCTTAGCAACTTTGAAATATATAATATGGAATTAACAACTAGAGTCACCATGCTGTACAATACATCTTCGGGGCTCATGTGTTTTAGAACTATTAGTATCTTTAGACCTCCTTTTTACCTATTTGATCTCCACACCCCCATGCCTAGAAATTACCAATCTGTTCTCTGTGAGTTCCCTTTTTGTTTGTTTGTTTGTTTTTTTCTCTTTGTTTGGTTTTAATTTTCACATATGAGTGAGATCATACCTGTTCTTCTATCACTGACTTACCTCACTTAGCATAATATCTTCAAGATACATTTATATTGTTAAATGGCAAGATTTCCTTCTTTTTTTTTTTTTTTTTTTTTTTTTTTTTTAAATCAATCTTTATTGTTCATATTATTACACAGGTTCCTCGTTTCTTCCCCCCTCCACCAGGTTCCCACCCCACCCTCTGCCCCCTCATCCTCATCCATTGGTGCACAGTTTATGTTCAGTCTCTTCCTCCCTCCCTTTCCCCGATAGTAAATCCCTTTTCAGATAGCAAATCTGTTACTTAGCATTTTCTCATATCAATAATACCTCCACATGCCCAATGATACACTTCACACAAAAGACATTTCCTAATAGGACAACCAGCCTCATCCAGGCCCCACCCAAGGCACTCACAGATCAACACCCCAGGACTATACTAACTCAACACATCCAGATCTAAGCCTTCATCACTTGATTCAGCAGACCCTCAAGTTCCCGCAAAAGTTTCCAGCCATGTCTGAGAGGCAGCCGTGGGGCAGGGGCAGGTGAGGAGCGAGCTGTTTTGGGCCAGGCTGCTCCGGGCCTGGCCTCTGTTGCTCTGGTTTGTTCCACAACCAGCTGCTCCGTGTCTGGTCACTGCCGCTCCTGACCCAGTTGCTCTGGACTTGGCTGTTGCTGCTACAGGCCTGGCCACACCCGACTCGGCTGCTCTGGGCCCAATTGCTCCGGGCCCGGCCGCTCCGGGCCTGGCTGCTCCCAGCCTGACAGCCGCTTCTCCGGGCCTGGCCGCACCGGACCCAGCTGCTCCGGGCCTGGCCGCTCCCAGCCTGGCAGCCGCTGCTCCAAGCCTGGCCGTGGAACAGTGGTTTTGACCCCTTCTGGACACCTGGTATTTTCCTTAAAAAAATATTTTTTTTTTAATTCATATCAGAGAAGAAGGGAAAGGGAGAGATAGAAATATCAATGATGAGAGAGAACTATTGATTGGCTGCCTCCTGCATGCTTCCTACAGGAGATTGAGCTTTCGACCCAGCATGTGCCCTGTTTTGGTCCATTTCTATGCAGATGAGGCCTCCTGGTTCATAGTTCAATGCTCAACTACTGGCTGGGCATACAATATTTTCCCATTTCTGGGCCCAAGCTTTTATGACGTCTTAATATCAGATTTCTGTATATAAACCCAGCATTCTTTCCATTGGCCTTATGTGTTTATTCAATATTAAATACTCTTAGTTTCTATAGCTTTAGGGTATCGCTTCGATGTGGAACATCTGGCTGTGGGATAGGATTATATAATAAAGCATTTTTTTGTGGACAAAAGTTTGCTGCCACCAGTTCAATGTCAACACAAGTCCCCAATGTGGAATGCAGAGATGGGAGAAACTTGATCCGAGTGAAATGACTCCAGTGAAGCAGCTCAAACAAAACAGCTTGTGTTGCTGCTCCAGTGTCACAGCTCAAATGTTACAGCCCCAGTGAGACAGCTGAAGTTGGGGAAATGCAGTATTTGATGGTGCACTCCACCAATACAAAGGGGAGAAGTTGATCCCTTTGCATGGGAACACTGGATGTGGAGACCCGGGACCTCAGGTTCAGGGATGACTGGCAGCCATTGCTGTTTGTTCTGCCCTGGTGATTCCCAGAGACCCCACCTACCCAATTTACAACCCCACCCAAGCTGTGCACATTGGCTTTTTGCATATGAATGGCCTGTCCTTTCTCTGCCTAAAACCTGTCAAACTGCATCTGGGTCAGAGAGCCCCAAAGGTTCCAAAATAAGGCCTAAGGACTGGCAGCAGCAGCCTGCTTTGCTTTACATCTGGGCCTTTTCTGGGAACTTCCAAACCCCATACAAAGAGGAGGAATCTGCAGATGTCTCTGTAGCTCCTGCTGGGTGGCCCCAGACAGTGGCTGACCTTGCACCTCCTTGGAGATCCAAGAGCCAGTGTACCCAGTGGTCAGAGTGAGACCATACTGAATTACAGCTCTTCACATCCATAAAAGACACACTCAGAGGGCAGACTCAATGAGCACCAAAGCCCCACTGAAGCAAGTCCTGCCCCATAAGGGTGTCTCCTGAGCAACAGATCTTCTAGTATAGACACAGCTGATCATCACAGCCAATTGGCCTGATGATCAATTACTCCCATGAAACCAACAGCTATAAAGGGTTTAACTACAACAAGACTGTGCAAATAGCTCACAAACTGGTGCACCAAGAGCGTCCACCTCAGGTGACTGGGGAGGCTGAGCCACTGGGTCCTATAGGACACCTACCGCACAAGGCCACTCTATCAACTCAAGGAGACTTAGCAACTACCCACTACATAGAAACAAACACACCTCCAAAATGCAGAGACAAAGAAACAAGTCACAAATAAAAGAAATGGATGAAAGCAAAATACTGGATATAGAGTTAAAAACCATGGTTATAAGGTTACTCAAGAATCTTCTAGAAACCTCCGAGAAATTTAATGAGATTCTGAAGGATATGAAAAAGGACCAATCAGAAATTAAGCATACATTGACCGAAATAAAGAATAATATGCAGAGATTCAACAGCAGACTAGACATGACCCAACTATATGCTGTCTACAAGAGATCTACCCCAAGACAAATGACTCACACAGGATGAGAGTGAAGAAATGAAAAAAATACCTTTTTCAGGCAAATGGAAAAGAAAAAAAAATGGGTAGCAATACTCATATCTGACAAAATAGACTTCAAAATGAAGGACATCACAAGAGACAGCAAAGGTCACTACCTAATACTAAAGGGATTTATTCAACAGGAGGATATAACCCTAGTAAACATATATGTGCACAATATAAGAATACCTAAATATGTAGAAAACCTTCTAGAGAACTTTAAGGAGAGATTGACAGCAATACAGTCATAATATGGGACTTTAACACCCCACTGACTTCACTGGATAGATCTATCAGACAAAGAATTATCAAGGAAACAGAGACTCTAAATTACACATTGGATCAGATAGATTTAATTGACATTTATAGAACACGTTAGCCCAAAGCTGCAGAATACACATTCTTCTCAAGTACACATGGTCATTCACAAAGATAGATTACATATTAAGACACAAAACAAGTCTTTATAAGTTCAAGAAAGTTAAAATCATATCAAGGATCTTCTCAGATCACAAAGGAAAGAAATTAAAAATCAACTATAGTAAAAACACTCAAAAACATTCAAACACCTGGAGGCTAAATAGAATATTATTTTTTAAAAATATACTTTTATTGCTTTCCAAGAGGAAGGGAGAGGGAGAGAGAGATAGAAACATCAATAATGAGAGAGAATTATTGATCGGCTGACTTCTGCATGCCCCCTACTGGGGATCTTGTTCTCAACCAGGGCATGTGCCTAGACTGGGAATTAAATCATGACCTCCTGGCTCATAGGTAAGGTGACCAGATATCCCGCTTTTGTCCCATGTCCTGTGTCGTTTTAAAAAGGTCCAAAAGATTTAAAAGAATCTTTCCAAAAATTGGGACTTTTTAAAAATGCCGCTGGATGCGGGACAAATTGTTAAAATTGGGACTGTGCCTCCAAAAGTGGGACGTCTGGTTACCTTATTCATAAGTCAACACTAACATCTGAGCCACACTGGCCAGGCTAAATAGTATGTTATTAAACAATGAATAGATTATCAATGAGATCAAGAAAGAAATAAAAACTTCTGGAAACAAATGAAAATGAACACGCAATAACCAAATCTCAGCAAAAGCTGTTCTGAGAGTGAAGTTCATAGCACTACAGGTCTACCTCAAAAAACAAGAAAAATTAACAATAAACTATTTAACTCTACAACTTAAAGAATTAGAAAGAGAACAACAAGAAAAGCCCAGAGTAAGTAGAAGGAAGTAAATAAAGATGAGAGCAGAAATAAATGACACTGAGATTAAACAAACCAACAACATATCAATGAAACCAAGAGCTGGTTCTTTGAAAAGATAAACAAGATTGATAAACCATTAGCCAGACCTATCAAGAAACAACAGGAGAGGAACTAACTAAATGAAACCAAAACACGAAAGCAAAGAGGTAACAACTGACACCACAAAAATACAAAGGATTGTAAGAAAATACCATAAAAAACTATATGCCAACAAGCTGGACAATATGGATGAAATGGCCAAATTCCTAGAGAAATACAGCCACCCAAAACTGAATCAGGAGGAATCAGAAAACCTAAATAGGCCAATAACAACTGATGAAATATGAGCAGTAATAAAAAAAAAAAAAACCTCTCAGCAAACAAAAGCCCTGCGCCAGATGACTTCACAGGGGAGTTTTACCAAACATTTAAAGGAGGTCCTTGGGGTGGGATGGAGCTGAGTGTGGCCACAGGAGGGAGGTCAAGGGCACTATGTGCTAACTAAGCCCCGCCCTCTTCCTTTGAGTCTCTAGCTTATTTCAAAAGCGACTACTTCTCTTTTATGCCCTTCCTGGCTTTGGTGATGCGCTCAGTCACAGGGTGCCTGCTCTCCCGGGCCATGACCCGCCAAGTCCTGCTCTTCACAGGTGTGCCAGGGGCTGGGGCTGGGAGGTGAAGGGTGAGGAGGAGAGGAATTTATGAGTCCGGGAGTAGAGAGAAGGGGTGCAGAATATCACAGAGTTAGATAGTTAGATTGGGGAGAGACAAAACTATTTGGGAGAGGATAAGAGATTCACGAAAGAGCGGAGAGTAGAGCTAGACCGAGATGAGATAAGCAGAGAGCTTGGAGGAAGGACTGAATGCATAGGCTATGCAAGGGGGCTCGGCTGGCCCCTCAGCTGCACAGATGAGGAACCTGAGACTAGAGAGGCGACAGGACGGGCCAAAGTGTGCACAGCAGGTACCGGGTCCTCTTCTCGAAGGGTCTCTTCTTGGATCCCACCTCACCACCACTTTGCCCCCAGCTCTGTTTTCTACAGACCCAGGTGTAGATGTTTGTTGAATGATGGGTGGATCAAATGATTTATTGTAAGTTTGGTTTTCTTATATGCCTGTGATTTGTGGAGAATGAGCCAAAGACCGGAATGAAATGCTTGAGGGTTGCCTAGGAAGGAAATTGCCTAAGGAGAGACTTTAGGAACTTGGTCTTGAGCAAATCAGCAGGGTGGGGACATAGGCTGGGGCTCAGAGAGGGGCTGGAAGCCCCCGAGGGGGTGGGCTAGGCCAGGGGTCTGCAACAGGTCAATGAGCATAAGGCAAAGGTTCCACCACCGACTTGTAGAGCCTGGGAGCCTTGGGTTGCAGAGGGACATTTGTAATCGGTTCATGCTCGGGAACGCTGATTTAATCCCAGTGGAGTGAGAAATGTTATATCCCCCAAAGAATTCCCCTTGTGTCATTAGCAAATTTATATCAAAAAGTGTACTCTATTATTATATTTTTAATCTCCTCAATGAAAAATTTGTGGGAATGAATACTTATATAATATCCTATATAATAGTATGAAAATTGACTGAACAGTAGAACAACCGGTCACTATGACACACAGGGGCAAATGCTCAATGCAGGAGCTGTCTCTGGTGGTCAGTGTGCTCCCATAGGGGGAGCACCACTCAGCCAGAAGCCGGGCTCATAGCTGGCTAGCACAGCAACAGTGGTGGGAGCCTCTCCCGCCTCGGCAGCAGCATGGAGAGTGGGCCTAAGCCATGAGTCGGACATCCCCTGAGGGCTCTTGCAGTCTGGTCTGACAGATCACACTCTCTGAGTGCACGAATTTTGTGCACCAGGCTTCTAGTATAATATATAAGTATTATATAAGTTCATAATATACTCTACTTGCCTATGGCCCACAGAGCTTAAAATTTTACTATCGGGCCCTTCATGGAAAAAGTGTGCTGAGCTCTGCCCAGGCTCTGAGCTGCATAGGGGAGCCCCACATCACCACCCTGGGTGAGGGTGAATCCCACAGGAAGGTGCTCGGGGCAGGGTGTGAACTGCTTCCTTAACTCCGTGCTTCTCTCCTCCTGACCCTCACCCCTGTTTTCCCTCCAGCTTTGGCCTTATGTCATGGGTTCAACCTGGACACTGAAAACCCAGTGGTCTTTCGAGGGAATGCCAAGAGCTTTGGGCAGAGCGTGGTCCAGCTTGAGGGATCCCGGTAAGGGCCCCTGCATTTCCTTTGTCTTTTATTTTGTTTTGTTTTGTTTTTCTTGGTTTATTTTTGAATAGTTAATGCCAAGGAGTATTATCTATTACTATATCTCCCACACTCCTTTCTCCCAGTTCCTATCCCACGCGGGTTTACACATTTCTCCCCCACCCCCATTACAGTTCACATTCAATTTTATTTTGTATTAGTTTCTGGTGTACAGCGTACACCAGCACAGAGGTGAGACAATCATATACTTTATTAAGGGTTTTCCTGACATTGCCAATACCCACTGACACCATGCACAGTTATTACAATATTATTGACTATAGCTCTTTTGTTTCCCTTCCCTGAGTAGATATATCAATAAAAATATTGCGATGAGAAATTCCAGAGATCTTACTGCCTATCTTTTCTTCTAAGACTTTATGGTCTCCAGTCTAAAATTTATATCTTTAATCCGTTTTGAGTTTATTCTTGTATATGGCATAAGAAGGTGGTTGAGTTTCATTTTTTTTGCATGTACCTGACCAATTTTCCCAACACCATTTACTGAAGGGACTGTCTTTACCGCGTTGTGTGTTATTGCCTCTTTGGCATGCGTTAATAGACCACAGAGGCGTGTGTTTATTTCTGGCTTTCTATTCTGTTCCGTTGATGTATGCCTGTTTTTATGCCAGTTTCTTCCGAGCACACCCGCCCGGTGCTGCCGGCCCTGAGCAGCAGGAGCCAGGCGTGGGGCTTTGGTCCTGGTCTATCAGCTTCCTGTGGAGGCTTTCTCCCCGCATGCCGGTGGACATCCCTTCTCCAGAGATGGAGGAGTCTGTGGTTCTGCTGGCTTTTGGGCCAGGCCAGGAGGTGCACAGTGTGGGTGCGACCAGGACCTTTTTCTCTCCTCGTCCTTCCCTTCGCTTCTCAGGGCGGTGACTCTCCCTCCTCCTCGCTCTGTGGCAGGAGCGCCTCGCACAGCAGGGCGGCTCAGGTGGCAGGACCCCGGCTTACCCCTCGTGTGTCGTTCTCCCCACGGACTCCGGCCACAGAACCCCTGCGGCCTCTGTGGCCACCCGCTTCTCACAGAAGGTGGAAGTCTGCGCAAGCAGAGTCCTGGGAAAGAGTTGCCCCGCTTTGTGCTTTGTGCTAAGCAGCCCGAGGAGAGTGAATGGGACCATCTGTAAAGGACCTGTTTGCTCTGTGTCCTCCAGCCCGAGTTAGCCTCTCCCAGGCTTTCTCTCTGAGTGTCTCTAGGATTCGCAGACACCCTGCGGGCTGGCTCCCACTCCCCGGGCAGGACTTCGCCTGCTCTCCTCCCCCAACGTGTCCATTTCCCCGGGTCCCGCGGCCATCTGCTCCTGATCCCCCGCAGGGTGGTGGTGGGAGCCCCCCAGGAGGTGAAGACGGCCAACCAGACGGGAGGCCTGTACCAGTGTGACTACAGCACGGCCGCCTGTGAGCCCATCCAGCTGCAGGGTGAGCCCCTCCCTAGGCCGGCCGGTCCTGCGGGGCACGTCCCTGCACCCCCTTCACTCCCTTTGTTCTGGGGGAGGCTCTGTGGTTGGCGCCGCTGGGGTCAGCTCCAGTCTCTGTGTGGTAGGGCGCCTCTACCCCCCGCACTCCCGGGCACTCCTTTCCCATGAGCCTGTGTCCCCAGGTCGAGGTGACCCCTGTCTAGCTTCTCTCGGGCCCTTTCATCTCCTGACTGTGACCTTGACCGTGTGTCTTCAGTGCCCCCGGAGGCGGTGAACATGTCCTTGGGTCTGTCTCTGGCATTTGCCACCAACCCTTTCCGGCTGCTGGTGAGTTGCCCTGGGTTACGGAGGGTCTGAGGGGAGGTGTGGAGAGCTGGGGCTGCTGGGGCTGGGGTCTTGCAGAGGATGGAGATGTCGGGGTAGAAGGACAGACAGCAGGGACAGCGCCCCCCTCACCCTGCCTTCCAGGCCTGCGGCCCCACCCTGCACCAGGTGTGCCAGGAGAACACCTACCTGAACGGCTTGTGCTTCCTGTTTGGATCCAACCTGCGGCAGCCGCCCCAGAGGCTCCCCTCGGCGCTGCGAGGTAGGCGGCGTGGCGTCCAGTGGAGGTGGGCAGCAGAGGCTGGAGGCAGGGCAGCCTGGACTGGGGCTGCTCAGTCTGGAGCGTGACTTAGAAGTCTAGGTGTTGAAGGTTCTAATAGAAAGAGAGAGAGAGATAGAGAGAGAGAGAAAGAGAGAGAGAGAGAGAAAGAGACTTGGGCCACGTGCTAAGGTCTTGCACTTCAAGAAAAGTCCTGACACAGCCACTCGTCTTTGTAAGGTGACATTCCAAACACTGTCCTTAGAGTCAGTGCCTTGTCACCTGGCCAGAGGCTCAGGAGCTTTAGGTGGTGAGGCCCCTGCCCACCTCTCCCACCCCTTCTCCCACCCCTTCTCCCACCCCTTCTCTTCTCCTGCCCTTTCTCCCTTCTCTTCTCCTGCCCCTTCTCCTCTCCTGCCCCTTCTCCAGCAGCTGCTGTGCTCTGGCCACACTGGCTGTCTTTCTTCTTTAAGAACCACACCCAAGGGCCCTGCCTCCACACTTTGCGCTCAAAGCTCACCTTTCCTTCAACATGGTGTGCTCTTCCCCATCCCTCAGCTGACAGCCATTAGCGCCATCTCAGCTCCAATGGCCTCTTAGGAGGCCTTCTCTGAGGGCCCTTTGGGCCGGCCCCACCCAAACTCCCTGCCACATTGCCCAGCTACCATCCTCATTCTGCATTTCCATTTTCTACTGTTTCTCATCTGCCCCTTTTTCTGCAATGTCGGCTCCATGACAGCAAGGCTGTTGCCTAGCTTGCTCACTGCTCTATGCGTTTGTATTGATTGCTTCATAACAAATTCCCTCTGAAGATAGAAGCTAAAAACAATATTAATTATCTTGCAGCTTCTAGGAATCAGGAGTCTGGGCGTGCCCAAGCTGGGTGCCTCTGCCTAAGGCCATGGTTGGTAAACTGCAGCTCAAAAGCCACGTGCTGGTCTCTGGCCCCTTGAGGGTGGCTCTTCCACAAAATACCACAGCCTGGGCAAGTCTATTTTGAAGAAGTGGCGTTAGAAGAAGTTTAATGCCACTTAAAAAATTTGGCTCCAAAAGAAATTTCAGTCGTTGTTCTGTTGCTATTTGGCTCTGTTGACTAATGAGTTTGCCGACCACTGGCCTAAGGCTTGCTCATGAGATGGAAGTCAAGTTGTCACACCAGAGCTGTTGTCTCATCTGATGGCCTGAAAGCCACCTCCAAGCTCGCTTCCAGGTTGTTGCACGGAGGCCCGGGGCCTCACTGGCTGGTGGCCAGAGGCTCCCCCTAGCTATTTGTCACGGGGACCTCCACTGCGAGCAGCGAGCACCATCGCAGCTGGCTCCCCTCAGGGTGGGGATAAAGACTGAGAGAGCCGAAACCGGTTTGGCTCAGTGGATAGAGCCTCAGCCTGCGAACTAAAAGGTCCCGGCTTCGATTCCGGTCAAGGGCATGTACCTTAGTTGAAGGCACATCCCCAGTAGGGGGTGCACATCCCCAGTAGGCAGCTGATGGATGATTCTCTCTCATCGATTTTTACAACTCTCTATCCCTTTCTCTTCTCTCTGTAAAAAATCAATAAAATATATTATATAAAAAAAAAAAAAAAGACAGAGAGAACAGAGAGCAGGCACCTAAGCAGAAGTCACAGTATTTTATAAACGAATCTCAGAAGTTACAGCTCAGAACTTCTGCAATTTCTTCGAAGTGAGTCAAAGAGTTCCGCTGAGCCCGGCCGGCATGATTCAGTGGTTGAGTGTTGACCTAAGAGCCAGGGGGTTAGAGTTTGATTCTGGGTCAGGGCACAGGCCTGGGTTGCAGGCTTGATCCCCAGTGTGGGCATGTAGGAGACAGCCAGTCAATGATTCTCTCTCACCATTGTTGTTTCTATCTCTCTCTCCCTCTTTCTTCCTCTCTGAAATCAATAAGAACATATTTTTTAAAAAAAAAAAGTTTAGCTAAGCCCTAGCTGGTTTGGCTATATGTGTAGAGCATAGCTGTGGACTGACGGGTCCCAGGTTCGATTCCAGTCAAGGCCATGAACCTTGGTTGCAGGCTTGATCAGGGCCCATGTGGGTGGCAACCAATCAACGCATCTCTCTCACATTGATGTTTTCCTCTCTGTGTCTCTCCCCCTCTCCCTCCCATCTTTTCTAAAAATGGAAAAATATCCTCAGGTGAGGATTGACAACTCACTCACTCAAAGAGAGTGTCATTCTGTACAAAAAATAAAAATAAAAAAAATAAAAATTTAAAAATCCAGTTAAAACTCAAGAGGAGGTGCCGGTTCCCCAAACACTTGTGATGGAAGGAGCGAGCGAGTGGACCTTTTCTAAGCTGCTCTCGGCCGCTGCTTCCTCTCACTGCAGGGCCGTCTTTTTGCTCGTCTCCACGTTGGCTCTGGAACCGAGGGCAGTGTCCTCCGTGTAAGCTTCTCCCCTTACGTCTGTTCCTCCGCACTGCGCCTCACCGGGGAGCTGCCTCCTTCTCCCCGGGGAGAACCACACCGCAGGCCGTCCCACCGCCTCGAGGGCACCAGGCTCCTCTCACTGGGGTTGGAGGAGGCCCTGCCTCGGCCTCACAGGTTCTTTCATGCCCCCAACCTGGGGCTCCTGTGGCCAATCACTCATTCCCTCTGGACCTTAAATGTCTCCCTTTCCTTTCTGGAAACCTGCTGCTGATACCCGCATCTTAGACACAATCAAGGACTACACTTTATACCGACATAACCTTCCCCTCCTGCTCGCCACCCTACCCCCTTCCCCCCCCCCCACTCCCCTTCCCTTCACCAAATGTCTTCGAAGGGCTTTCTTTCTCCGATCGACTCCCTCTCCCCATGTCCTGGCCTCACGCTCTGACATCTGGCTTCTGCCCATCCCTGCACAGACTCTAGCAAATGGCATCTGTTACCCTGAATAGCGAGCGTCTTTTCTGACCTCATGGTCACTGGCCTCTCTAAGGTGACCCGCAGACCTTCCTTCCCCACACTCAGCCTCAGGGGTCCCGCCCCCTCCCCTCCCTTTGCCTTCCTGCTTCTCCCCTCCTTTCCTTCTGCCCTGCTTTCCTTGCCTGTCCCGCCTGCCCTCCTGCCCACCTGCCCTGCCTGCTCACATTCCCCTCCTGCCCTCCTGCCCACCTGCCCTCCTGCCCACCTGCCCTCCTGCCCACCTGCCCTGCCTGCTCACATTCCCCTCCTGCCCTCCTGCCCACCTGCCCACCTGCTCTCCTGCCCTCCTGCCCACCTGCCCTCCTGCCCAGGGCGCCGGTGACAGCTCCTCTTCCCTCCATGTGTTCCTCCTGCCTGACGCCTCCCCTTCTGTGGCTTCAGCTCCCACCCTCACATCTCTCTCTTCCGTCCTCACTCTCAGGAGCTCAAGACTCTTCTTTGGAAACCAATTCCTGCCTTCCCGTTTCTCCTAAGATGCACTTGGTTGGAAATGCAATGGCACTAAGGGGTGGACTGGGAGACTCTCCCTCTTGGTCCCCAGCGTCTGCTTCCTGTCCCATAATGGTTTTGGTGCAGCGGGTGACACGCCAAGCAACTGAGCCACTTGGCTGGCGCTGCTTGTGTATTTTAAAAAAGCCAATACTTTTTGGGTAATTTTAGTTTTTCATGTCCTACAATAAAATTGACTTTTTTTCTTCTTTTAAAAAATAATGTATTGTTCAATTACTGTTGATATAGATTATATTAGTTTCAGGTGTACAACACAGTGATTAGGCATTTATATGTCTTATGAAGGGATCACTCTGATAAATCTCTTACCCATCTGACATCATACATAGCTATTACAATATTATTGACTTTTTTCCTTTGCCCTGCCTTACATCCCCATGGCTATTTTTAGGGTAGTTTTATGAATTTTAAGAGATGTATCTATTTGTGGGAAAACAACATGAGCAGGATATCAGAGAGCCCCAACGCCCCCTAAGAAAACCTTTCTGCCTTTACAGTCAGTTGCCTCCACCCCTTCACCCCTGGCCCAGCACTCACTGCTCTGCTCTCTGTCACTATGTACACGCAGTTTGTCTTTTCAAGAATGTTACCTACATGGAATCATAAGCTTCTGAGTTTGCATTTGGGATTCACTCACATTGTTGTGTGTGTCAGTAGTTCTTTCCTTTTTATTGCTGAGTGGTATTTCATTGCACGGATTTCCCACAGTCCCACTCTCCGATTCACTCATCGAAGGATGTTTGGGTCATTTCCCATATTTCACATCATGAATAAAGCTGCTACAAGTTTTCCCTGCCAAGGCAGCCTTTCTACAACATAAAAACATCATCTCTCTCCCTTCCCTAAGAACCATTTACTGCCCAAGGCGTAAAGTCAAACTTCTTTTTGGATAGAGAGGCTCTTTCCAACTGCTCCCTGCTAATGTCACAGCCCCATCTCCATCTCCCTCATACCGGTTTACCCAGGTAGTTCCAGGTCCATTCTGGGGTTCTGCCAGAATTCTTTGAGGCCCATCCCCTTTGTATCAGTCGGGGTCTCTACTGGGACAGGTGGCACACTCCAGCTAAGATAACTCAAAGGGACTATTTACAAGGGGACTAATCATAAAGATGTGGTAGGGTCTAAGCTACTAGGGACAGTCCAGGAACCCGGGGCCAGCAGACCTGTCACCACCCCTAAGCTGATAAGACAAGGAGGGGAAAAGTCACCGGAATCCAGAGGAGAGGAATCTCACTTTCCTCACTTACCCAAGCGGATCTCACTTTCCTCCCTCCCTCCAGTCTCCTGGGGAAGCTCCTGACTGTGCAAATCCAAGGAGAAGCCAGAGGGTAAGAGCCCTGTTGCTCTGGACCACGAGGGCCACTTCTTCCAGGCTGCGGAGCGGAGAGGGGAGGGAGAAAGTAGATTTGGGGCTGAGGGCAGAAGGAAGAACATCCAGCAAACCTTTATAGATGCTATTCCTTCCCCCGCCCCCCCCCCCCCCCCCGCCCCCATAACTTGTTTCTTCCATGATATTCCTGGCAAATTATTTCTCATTCTTCATGAGGTAGCTCTAATGTCACTGCTTCCCCTGACTCCCTTGGGCAGAATTAACCAATTGTTTTTCATACCGCCGAGAACCCATTCCAGCATGTAATAATTACAAGAGTCAAACGGTTGATGGGACTTGGGAGGCTCAACAAGGGTGAGCCACATATGTAATTTACTCGTTGGAAATGGCTAAAAGGCACTTCCCCCTGTTAGTGGTGACCCGAGAATGACGACCACCAGTCAACCAAATTGGAATTTATGAAGCCTTTATTACGAGTCCCAGCTGACGTCTCAACTGACACAGGAGCGAGCAATGAGAGCCCTGACTCACTCTAAGCATGCTACTTTTATCCCCGTCTTAGGGATGCCTGGCAGATTATGATTGGCTAAAGTTTTAACAAAGTAAGGTCAGTTATAAGTTATAAAAAATCTCCACTAGTACGGTAACATTTAAAGTTTATACAACACCTGGGGTGGGGGTTTATTTTCAGCTTAAGCAGTATCTGTTTGACCTGGTTTGGTCTGTTTGTGCTGCCTTGCGGCTACTGAAAACAGGACATGCCTGCCTGGGGGTTGAGCCTTGCAACAGAACTATTTTATGACTAACAGTTATGCTACATTCTTTGTTGTGGGTCTGGTTCCTTCCCTGGCCTGGATTCCTGCCTCGACAGGGTCTTGCTAGCCATCTGGAGCCCCACCTCCACCGGGTCTTGCTGGCCACAACACACCAAACCTGAATAGGATTTTTTGCTACTCGACAGCTCAGGGCATTTTATTGCCTCCTGTTGCCCAAACACCTGAACAGCTGTAGGCCATTCCCCAAACTGATAATGCTCTGTATTCTACCCTTTGATACCTTACCCTTTGAAGTGTATATTTCCACCTTGCCTTGGGACAAATTGTGTTGAATAAAAGCTTGGGTCCTTGGCCAAGGAAGAATCTTCAGTTCCTTTTATAATAGCTGAAGCTCCCCTGGTCCCCCAATGTCTTTCAAAAATATCTTTCATCTTTGGACTCCTTTTTAATAATCTATGCACAGCCCCTTTCTCCAGAATGCTGAACCCTTTGTAAGGCTGGGAAAAGAACCCCAGCATTATGGTGCCCTAATGAGGGACACCAACACATTCCAATTTGTCCATATTTTTATTTTAAAAATATGTTTTAATGGATTTTTAGAGAGAGAAAGAGAGGCCATGAGAGGAATAGAGGGATAGAAACACCTATGAGAGAGAAACATCATGGATTGCTCCTCCTGCATGCCTATTACTGGGCAATCAAGCCTACAACCCGGGCATGTGCCTAGATTGGGAATCAAACCATTGACCCCTTGGTTCATGGGTTGATGCTCAACCAGCAAGCAACATGGGCGGGTACCTAATCACTCTGCACTCTTTCCATGGTCCAGAGTGCCCCCAGCAGGAGAGTGACATCGCCTTCTTGATTGATGGCTCTGGCAGCATTATCCCAAATGACTTTCAGCGGATGAAGGAGTTCGTCTCAACTGTGATGAATCAGTTCACAAAGTCCAACACCTTGGTGAGGGCCAATGGGGAGGTTAGGGAACAGCCCATGCAAGGCTGCAAGGACATAGCAACCGACCACTGCTTTCCTCTCCTCCCTCAAATACAGACTTTCACAAATGGTCAGTCGGTCATGGTTTTCTTCCATGAGTCTCCTTCTTGCTCTATCTGGGTGAAGCCTCAGTACTCCTCCAACCCTCTGTAAAACAGGCAGCTCTGACTGTTGGATAGGGGTTGGCATGGGAGATGAAACCCCGTGTCGTCTCTGCCTGAGTTCTAGTACTGAGAGCTGATGGCAGGTGTCTTTCTTGGTGGGGCAGAAAGAGGGGGGCAGTGTAGGATTTGGAGACCAGAGTGCTTTAAGATTTCTGCAGGGCTTTCTGGGAGATAGCTGGGAGGTGGAGGGGGGGAGAGGGAGGGCGGTGGTGGAGGCCTCCTCTTCTTTGGTGTAATGCCAGGTCCCCGCCCCCAGTTCTCTTTGATGCAGTTCTCTGATGCGTTCAGGACACACTTCACCTTTAAAGATTTCAAGGCTAACCCGAACCCGACGCTACTGGTGAGGCCAATCAAACAGCTGGAAGGGTGGACGCACACAGCCACAGGAATCCGCAAAGTGGTGTAAGCTGTTTTTGCTTGGAATGTGAGCAGGGGTGACGCTTTTAGCTGGGTTTTGAAGGATGAGAGGAGGGGCAGGGAGGGAGTAAAGGATATTTCTGGCTGAGGGAACAGCATGCCAACGTGTGGAGGAGGGATAGTTCATGACAAAACAAGTTGTGAGTAAAGGTGGGAGTGAAGGGGAAAGTGAGAGGAAGATTGGAGGGAGGCTGGAGAGATCAATTGAGGCCAGAGGGGATCCATGGGAGGTTTTAAACAGTGGGAAGATGGACCGGACCAATCACTCTATTTGGAATGTTCACTCTGATTTCTGTGAGTGTGAGTGTGTATGTGTGTATGTGAGTGTGAGTGTGTATATGTGTGTGAGTGTGTGTGTGTGAGTGTATGTGTGGTGTACGTATGTGTGAGAGTGGGTCTATGTGTGTGTGAATATGTGTGTGAGTGTATGCATGTGTGAGAGTGTGTATGTATGTGTGAATATGTGTGTGACTATGTGTGAGTGTGTATGTGTGATAGTGGGTCTATGTGTGTGTGAATATGTGTGTGAATGTATGTATGTGTTAGAGTGTATATATCTGTGAGAGTGTGTATGTATGTGTGAATATGTGTGAATGTGTGTGTGACTATGTGTGAGTGTGTATGTGTGAGAGTGGGTCTATATGTGTGTGAATTTATGTGTGGTTGTATATGTGAGTGGGTGTATGAATATGTGTGTATGTTTGTGTGTGAGTATGTGTATGTGTGAGTGTATGTGAGCATGTGTATGTGTGCATGTAAGTATGTGTATGTGTATTTGTATATGTGACTGTGTTTATGTATATGTGTGAATGTATGTGTGAGAGTGTGTGTACGTATGTGTGTATGTGTGTGACTATGTGTGTGAGAGTATATGAGTGTATGTGTGTGTATGTGTAGAGTCAAAGGTGGGGTGGGACAAAAATGCAGGAGATAAGCTTATTAAATAAGCAATTAAGCTTATTAAATATACTATATAATAAAAGAGCAATATGCAAATTAACCATCACTTTGCTATACCCACAACCCATGCCCACCACCCATGCCCACCAGTCAATCAGAGCGAGTATGCAAATTAACCCCAACCAAGATGGCTGTGGCCACAGGGAGCAGGAAGGAGGCTTGGGTTTCCCTGGCAATGGAGGAAGCCAAGCTTTTCACACACTCTGGGAGGCCCAGGCCTCCACTCACGGGTACAAAGTTTCAATGACAGAAGGTAAATAAATTCCAACAGAAATGGCGGCAGCCACTGAGCTGGAAGAGCAGGAGGTGAGGGTTTCCCTGAGTGATGGAGGAAGCCAAGCATCTGCAGCCCTGGCCAGCTCAGGCCTTCACTCCGGGCTACAAAGTTTCAATTGTAGAAGATACATAAGTCCAGATACCAGGGCCTCCGCTTGGGTCACCGAGGAGCCTGGCTGACCCGCAAACCACCACAGGCCCCTCACCCAGGCCACCACACACCCCAAGGGAACCCCACCCTGATCTGAGACACCCTTCAGGGCAAACCAGCTGGCTTGCACCCATGCACAGGCCTCTATCCTATCTAATAAAAGAGTAATATGCAGATTGATCATCACCCCAACACACAATATGGCTGCCCCCATGTGGAAAAGATCCTGCCCCCATATGGACACAAGATGGCCACCACAAGATGGCCAGCAGGGGAGGGCAGTTGGGAGGGACCAGGCTTGCCAGGGAGGGCAGTTGGGGGTGATCAACCCTGCAGGGGAGGGCAAGTATGGGTAACCAGGCCAGCAGAGGAGGGAAGTTGGGGGCAAACAGGCTGGCAGGGTAGTGGTTAAGGGGTGATCAGACTGGCATGGGAGTGGTTAGAGGGTGATCAGACTGGCAGGCAGAAATGGTTCGGGGCAATCAGGAAGGCAGGCAGGTGAGCAGTTGGGAGCCAGCAGTCCTGGATTGTGAGAGGGATGTCCCAAATTGGAGAGGATGCAGGCTGGGCTGAGGGACACCCCCCACCCCCACCTGCCCACCACTTCCCCGGTGCACGAATTTCATGCACCGGGCCTCTAATGTGTGTGTGTGTGTGTGTGTGTGTGTGTGTGTGTGTGTGTGTACTTTTTAATTTAAAAGGAATAATAGTTAAAAAACGCACCCTCTGCAAAAGCATGGAGAAGCAGTGAGGGCGTTCCCGCCACTGCTCTCCCCTCTCCTGCTGCCTTCACCCCAGTGTTCGCTCCGGGACCCAAGCCGCCCTGGGCCGGGCACAGCTGTGTCTCCCCAGCGGCTAGGCTGG